GAGAGAGAGAGAGAGAGAGAGAGAGAGAGAGAGAGAGAGAGAGAGAGAGAGAGAGAGAGAGAGAGAGAGAGAAGACGGGGGGCGGGGTGTCGCAGTGAAGGTAGCTGTGATGGCAGACAGGTAGCAAAAGCGAGTACGGGTGAGAGAGAGAGAGAGAGAGAGAGAGAGAGAGAGAGAGAGAGAGAGAGAGAGAGAGAGAGAGAGAGAGAGAGAGAGAAGACGGGGGGCAGGGTGTCGCAGTGAAGGTAGCTGTGATGGCAGACAGGTAGCAAAACAGAGTACGGGTTCGAAACACCCAAGCATTTCACCCAGAACTGCTGAAGCGGTCCTTCACAGTGGCAACTAGGGGCTACAAATAAGAACTACTACTACAAAGAATGCTATTGTTTTTTTTTCCTTCGGATAAGTAGAGCTAGAATAAGGGGGACCATGCATGTAGATTCTCCATCGACATGTTCAAAAATGTCTTGCCCTTTCAGACCTTTTTCCAACTTCCCGCAGCCGCGGCCCCTCTTCCCTCCCCCCCCCCCGACAAATGCCACGATGACAAACAAACAGACTGTAAGAGCAGAGTGTTTCAGCTATATGCCCCTTCTACGGTTGCATACCCTCTCTACGCACATCCAACTCCACCCCAGCTCAATTCTCTATTCTTCAATTTCCATCGCTGAGGAGGAAGCAGAGGCCAGGAGCACGAAGAACTACCAATCAATTTGGAACTACGTCTCCTTCCCCTTCTGTTCTGCAGCTGCCAGCTTTATGTCCAAGGAGGGTTACCTTCCTCTCCTCCCCGAACAGTCCGGCTTTATGTCCGAGGAGGGTTATTAACCCCCTCTCCTCCCCCAACAGTTGCAGCACATGCTCTACCTCTACAACAGCATGCTTATAAGCTATATAGCAGATGAGCTTTTTGCGCTATGCCGCGTATAGTTATTTCTCTTCACATGCATGTGAAAACAAAGGCGCATTGCTAGCAACACTTCAGTTTGACTATGGTTACTTTTATTCACGTGCATGTGAAAACAAAGGTGCATTAATCACAACACTTCGGTTTGACCAAGTGCGGTGCACAGGAGTCCCCTACCATATCTTCGACAAAATGTAAGAAAAAAAAAATTAGAAAGATGAAAATTGAACATCGCGGCAAACGGATTGGTGAACCACATCCATGCACAGTTAGAACTTCCTCTCTATCCCTCTCAAAGACTCAAACGCAACTCCAGACGATCGCTAAAAAAGGCAAATCCTCCTCCCCCCCCCCAGCAATTGTTCCTGCACCCTACTTTGAAAACGTGTTTGGAACTTCGAGCCTAACTCCAGCCTGAATCTGACCCCATCCGATCAACCGCCAATGTTTCTCTACCCTTCTGCTGAGAGCTATCTTTTCTCCTTGCTTCGTGCAGACAGGCGATGTTAGCTGCAATTTCGCCAGGTCGTTCCTCACGGCGACAACACGTGCGCCTGTGCACATAGAACCAATGTTCAACATCAGAATCTCGGACTTGGCCAGCTTCGCCACCTTTCCTTGCTTCTCCGAGCCCTTCGTCCGCACCCCGAGAAGACGACGGAGAAGGAAAAAGTTCACCTCCAGCTCAATAAACACGTCCGGCAGTTTTCCGACCTCGCCAAGAACCTGCCCCACCAGTCTGTCCGCACGGGTTAACGTTGGGTCGATCGTCGTCCCCACCCCAATCAGCCCTCCCGGCACAGCAAACTGCAGCTCGTTCTGCTCCGCGAAGAGCGATATGATGCGCGAGTAGATAGGCGAACACTTTATCCTCCCCTCTGCGTCCTTGGACACAATCCCGGGCCGGACCTCTACGTCCTGACCCAACCTCAACACTCCTCGCAGGATGCTCCCCCCGGCAACCCCTCCCTTGATATCATCAACCTCTGCACCAGGTTTGTTGACATCAAAGGACCGAATTACGATCATATTCGGCGGCGACACGAAGTCTCTCACAGGCACAGGAACCTTATTGGTGATGTACTCGCAGACAACGTCAATGTTGTACTTGAGCTGCGCTGAGATCGGGACCACAGGAGCCGATTCCGCAATAGTTCCTTGGATGAAACTCTTGATGGAATCGTGTTGGTTGAGGGCGACGCTCTCCTGAATGAGGTCGACTTTGTTCTGGAGAATGATGATGTGCTTCAATCGCATGATTTCGACAGCGGCCAGATGTTCTGACGTCTGCGGCTGCGGACAGCTCTCATTCCCTGCAATGAGCAGCAGGGCTCCGTCCATGATCGCCGCACCATTGAGCATGGTGGCCATGAGAATATCGTGGCCCGGACAGTCGACAAAAGACACATGCCTAAGCAGCTTCATCCTTTTGTTTTCAAAGCCGGGAACGTCACATGGTGGGTTGTCCTCCTTCGCACTTCCGTAGGCTTTGTAACAGGCAGGCCTAGGGCACCTATCATCCTCACACTTGTAAATTTTCGCATTGGCATATCCGAGCTTGATAGTAATGTTGCGTTCCAGCTCATTCTTAAAGCGCACCGTCTGCACACCTGAGATAGCCTTCACAACCGTGGATTTCCCATGCGCCACGTGTCCAATCGTGCCAATGTTGATCGTGGCTTGCCGGCTGATGACTTCAGGCGACAAAGGGTGGAGCTTTTCTACATCTAGCTTGCTCAGATCCTGCTCCATCAACGCGCGTCTCGCCATGGTGCCCCTTCGTCAGAAGCACCCCCAAAGCAATGTTGTTTACTCCTCTTTAATGAACTTGGACCCCACCCCGCAGGCCTGACACACCCCCGGGACACCTTCGCTCGGCGGAAGCTATAGCTCCCAAACCTGTGACGCAGTTGCGGTATATCACACACACACACACACACACACACACACACACACACACGAAAGAGCATACATAAAAACAGGTCGTCAGATCGGGGCATGCTCAGATGGTACACAGATGAACTGTTGAAATACAGACCGAGGTTCGAATGCGGCCCAGGTTTTTGAAAAATAGGAGGGTCAGATTGAATCCATCAGCAGCCGGATGTGGCGTTTAGATCGCAAGCATTAGCTGTAGTTGGGCCGCGAGCGTTACCATAGTTGGGTCGCGAATATTACCCATCGATGTACAGCCAGCTGCTGCAAAGGCAGCTGGACCAAGCGCCCAGGCAGTAGATACATGTGTGTGCTGCCGTCTTTTTATTTTTCACCTGAATAGAACGGCCACTCGTAATAGCTGTATACGGGGCAACATTCAGTCTAAATACAGCGATAATGACCGGGCGTTCTATTCTGGTGAAGATGGAAGGTCCAACACCAAACTGGTATCCAAACAGGGATCGCTGCCAAAGTAGCCTAGATGCCTGCCCATTTGCAGATACCCATCCAACGTATCTGGACAAACACGTGCTGCAATGTGCAGAGACAGACAGAATACTTAACAGCAATAAGGGGTAAATCGGTCGCATACTGCCTGCATGCAGTCGGGTGGCTGCTAACTTTATCCAATTAAGAGGAGGACAAAATGGGAAAGTGGCGAAACTACAGAAGCCCACATAAAGAAATCGGAGAAAGGAAGAACCGGAAACAGGCATCAGTGATGACACCAACCGGGATAAGACAAATAGCGTTTCGACCAATCACGGACACATAAATGTTGAGAGAAGAAGAAGAAGAAGTGGAAGGAAGGAGAAGAATAAAGAGAGGAGGGAGATGCGGTAGACACGAAAGGAGAAGGAGAAGAATAGAACTCATCCCAGATACTCCCGAAACAAGACCAGTCGGCCAAAACAATTATAAATCAAGTTCCGCCGAAACATCGTAAGATAGTGGGGAAGACCTGGCGCAGCGACCCTACGCTGCATTTCATCCGGCCGCCACTACCGGAATCATCAGGGGTCTTTGTCGCTAGGAAGAGGGATTGAGCAACATCGAGATACCAGAATAAGCACTGACTAGCGAACCGCTGAAGACCAAGAGACCGAACAAGCCTAGAGGTGAGTGCAAAAAAAGGGGAAAACCCAACCTGTACCGATAAGCAGGTCAGAAGCAGACGGCAAGACAGAAAAGGACGACAAGAGGGCCAGTGGCAAAGAATAGCCAAGATTCGGGACACCGACCGCCCTGGCTCAGTTGGTACACCCATGACAGAAACTCTGCATTTACCTGGGGCTGGTCAGTTGAAAGAGAATATCCAAAGGCAGTCGCTCTTTTAAAAAAAAGAAAAAAGAAAAAAAAAAGAAAAAAAAAAAAGACATTAAAATTTAAAACGATGAAAGTTGAATATGGGCTATGCAGGTCAAGGGGAACCCTTGCAGGAGCACGCAGGGGGGGAAGGGAACCCCCGGAAAAGCGTGGACAGGATTGCAATTGAAACGGTCGCGGTGTGTGAGGGAGGGAAAAGGGGGAGGGACAGTACCTTCCCTTCTGTATTGCATCCAGGCGGCGGGACTTGATATGGGATCCCAGATAATGGGAATGACCGAGACAAAGAATGCAAAAAGGACAGACGTGCCACTCCAGAACCCTACTACCAAGAATTTCTATAGCTCATTACTGGAGCGGGTGAACATCTGTGAGGAATTGAGGACTCGATGGGCCAAGAGAAACTGGATCCCTGACGTATATTTTGGTAGATGGACGCAACGAAGGTGGAACGAGCAATGTGCACTTCTGGCAGCCCTGCCAGATCAGTATTACGACACCTCGGTATTTGTATTACCCATCGTCGACGTATTACGACCCCTTGGTGCATTATTAGTATGACTCCTCGGCGTATTACCATGACCCCTAGAAGTATTATTACGACCCCTTGGTGCATTATTACGACTCCTCAGCGTATTACCATGACCCCTAGAACTATTATTACGACCCCTCGGCGGATTATCGTGACCCTTAGAAATATTATTATGACCACTCGGAAGTATTATTACGACCCCTAGAAGTAGTACTATGACCCCTAGAAGTATTATTATGACCCCTAGAGGTATTTTTACGACCGCCAGAAGTACTATTATGACCCGTCGGCCTGAGGGAGAGTGCAAGCGGGCAAACGCCAATCACGCATATGTTTATTTATTATTGAGGCTTCTGAAAGTTACCTCCTCCTCCTCCTCCTCCTCCTCCTCCTCACCAGCTCTACTCCGCACTTTCTTTCATTCCCCTCTCCTCCTCCTAGCTAGAATCTCGGTCACTTTGTTCTCTTTTCTTTATAAAAATGGTGACAATCAACGGACCTTTTCATTTTTTATATATTTTTATATTTTTTCCCCTTTTTTTGCCTTTTCTTTCCATTTTTTTTTCTTTTTTTATACATACTTTTCTTTCTAATGAAAATGAGACTGACAATAGCGCACCCAATTTACTCAACGTGTCCCACCTTTCTTCATCCTTTGCCACTCCTCTTCTTCCCATCCGTCTCCATCCCAATTTCTTTCATCCGCGAAGAGAAGAACGGATATGGTTCTGGTTAAAAAAAAAAGAAAAAAAAAGAGAAGAAATAATGGTTAAGGACGACACATGGAGGCGGACAAAGTGCAACACAACGACTCCTCTTCTTCCCATCCGTCTCCGTCCCAATTTCCTTCATCCGCGAAGCGAAGAACGGATATGGTTCTGGTTAAAAAAAAAAAAAAAAAAAAAAAGAGAAGAAAGAATGGGTAAGGTCAACACATGGAGGCGGACAAAGTGCACCAGCACAACGACCTACTGCCCTCCCCCAGTCTAGATGCAGCGTCAATGACCGTACGTTCTATTCGGTGGAAGATGGTACTTTATTATTCTGACGAGTCTTTGATCGCTATGATTATGTAAGATGGGAGAGGAGGAAGAGGAGAAGGAGCCGGTCAAAGGAGGAGGATAAGGGAGGCGGTCAAAGCCGGTCAAAGGAGGATAAGGGAGGCGGTCAACGTCGGTCAAAGTCAAAGGCTATCAAAGGAGGTCATATATTACGTAATTACTACCGGTAACAACAATAATTTCGTTGTCGGAGGGTGAAGAAGAAGAATTGAATTGAATTGAATTGAATTGAATTGAATTGAATCCTACGCTTCACGTGCCGATCCCAAGAATCGAACACACGCCCTCCCCGCGTTCAGGAGGCAATCACTCAACCAAACGGCTAAGTGGACTGGGGTGAAAGTTAAGCCCCAAGATGCGCAGTGAAAACAGTGAAAACAGTGACGAAGAAGAAGAAGAAGATGATTGAAAACAGAAGAGGCCCAGACTGGTTCTCGTTCATGCATCCACAGAATTTCGTTGCGTTTCCACACGTACAGTTCTCCGCAGAAAGGCGCAAATTCCCCGCCGTGGTTCTTTGCCAGGTTGCACGCGCGCAAATTCCCCGCCGGGGTTCTTTGCCAAGTTGCGCGCGCGCAAATTCCCCGCCGCGGTTCTCTGACAGGTCGCGCGCGCGCAAATTCCCCCACGCGGAGAGAAAGACCTACAAAACAAATTAAGGGGGGGAAAAATGCCCTACAAAACACATTTAAGGGGGAAAAGAATGTCCTACAAAAAAAAAAAAGGGGGAGAAAAACAAAAGGCCACGGACGCTGATGAGGGATAACAATGTGGAGGAGGACAACAAGTGTCAATCATAATTTTATTGGGGGGGGGGGGGGTGTTCCAGACGTGCAAACGGCTCCCCCGGGCCAAGGTCTAACCTGTCACATCCCATCCTCTGCTTTATGCTTTTTTCTTTTTTTTTTCCCTTGAGTGACGTTGATGATGGGCCTCGCTCCACTACTCTCCACATGCACAAAAGACAAAAAATATGGCGGTGTATCTTTCCATGTTCTGGCGAAAGATTCATTCTCGTTTTGTTCATTCGATGAGTAGTAGAGCGAGGCCCGGCGAGAGAACGAGAACGCCAACAAAGGCGACGAGGAGCAGGAGGGGAGGAAACGGAATGGGGAAGATGAGGAGAAAAGGGAGGAGGGGAGGGGGTAGAGACTGTCTCTTATACACATCTAGATGTGTATAAGAGACAGATGGAGGAAGTGGGTGAGGGGGAGGGAGGAGGTAGGAAGGAGGCAGGTTGGCGAGAGGAGGAGGTGAGGAGGGAGGGTATGACGATTTCCAATTTTTGAATCCTTTCTATTTCCTTTTTTTTATCCTTTCTTTTTTCCCTTCTCTTATTCTTTTCTTATCCTTTTTAATATCTATTCTTAATCCTCTTTTTTTTTTCATCCTTCTTTCCATCATCTGTCCTTCTGAGTGCGCACGTGTACAACTGAGACTAAGGCCTACCCCCCCGACAAAAAGAAAGTTAATCAATACACCCGTTCTCGGCCTATATTGTTTCAAAAGAAAAGCAAAAAAGAAAAAACGTCCCTACTACAGTGCTTTTCGTTCCCTTTAAAAAAAAAAAAAAAAAAAAAAAAAGGTTCTTCGTCGTCTTGCTCGTGCTCACCCCTTGGGTCTGGTCCCACCTACAGCGTTGAGTTTTCTCAACGCTGAGCTTTCTATCACGTGTGGCATGGTGGGACGGAGCTCTGCCGTTGATGTATTGCGATCTAATGGTACACCGAAATACAGGAGAATAACCTATTACATTTTGTCATTTTGTAGAATTTTCCTCTGACGTGAAATCCGTTTTGTGGTATGCTTTGGCCCTTTTGGTTTGGGCGGGAAACCATTTTCCATTGAGAAAACTACCCTACCGAGGGTAGGGTACATTTCTCAACTGCAGTGCCTTTCCTTTTTTTTGTTTTTTAGACATCATTACATCCTGAAACGGAGGAACTCTGACAGCTGCGTTTGGCTGTCTGGCATCAAACTCGTTTCCTTCTTTGGGCAATGAATGCATTTG